TTGTGGTTGATTTTTTTTTAATCCAGGTGCAAGAATTCACATTTACTCCTATTACATTTCATCCTGTTAGGTTCATCCTAAGGCTCCAGCCTGTAGAGATCTTTTTGGATCCCAATTTTGTTAGGTATTAGCTATCCCTTCTAGCTTCAGAGTTATTCTTAGATATGATAATCCTACCCTCTATGTCTTTGCTACTCTATTGATCAAAAGGTTGACCAGAACATAGCCAGAGCACTATTGCATCTTCAATAATCATTCACATCAGTCTTAGTTCAATCAGAGAACTTCTGTTTTGCATGTTTTTTCTTGCTATATCATTTATTCATTAATATGTTTTTAAATAATAATTGATTCATTATTATGCTTTTGCCATCATAAGAGTCCCCTGAACAATTTGATGAGTCTACAGAGTGGTGAGTTTCTGGTTGTGATTTTATATCTCATCGATTAAGAATATACTTATTAGCTTGAATCGTTGTTTTTCAGAGATCCCCTCTTCTGAGCCTAACAAAGAGTCTTTGTTAAAGACTCAGGACTTTCCCTCCCTTTTGCCTTTTCCCCGCCGCCCCTACTTTCTGAGCACAGGTTAGAATCCAGAGACCTGAGAAAGAACTTTGGTCCCCAAGGGGCACCTGTGCTTTGGCATGGCTTCCCAGGAGCCTCTCTTCTATGGAGATGGAAGCCTCTTGGCTGAAAGGCATGCCATTTGGCTTTGATATAAATGAATAAGCATTGGTGTAGGGAGAATAGAGAATTTTATGTTGTCTGAGGTAGTAATGTGGCTCTTCTACTCTTGAATGCCTGGTCCTCACCCTGGAGAGGTAGAGGAAGTTGTGCGGAGCAGATGGCAAACACTCTCAGCCATGTAGCTCCAGAGACAGGGAGCCCCAGTGTTTAAGACAGAAAGAACTTACAGGTGAAGTTCTTGGACAGAGTTAGGGTCTTGGAAGAAGAATCACCAACATTCCCTCTCATTCAGCGAGAGGAAGCCAAAACAACCAACCAACCGAACAAACAACCAACCAAACAAAAGACAAAAAAGTCCCACTGGACTCTGCCTTTCCCATCAACTGTGAGTTATTTGGACTATGTAGCTCCAGTAGGGAGGGGGTTACTTCTCTAAGAACCACAAGGACATTTTCCTCCTGGAGGGAGGTCAAGATCCCTAGGCTAGTACCAGAAGGCTGGATGCTTCTGTAAGTCTTTAGTGTGAAAGTGGGACCAACCAGAATGTTGGGGGGAAGATGCCCTTTTCTAGAAACCTCAAATGCATTTTCTTTCTGTGGGGAGTCCAAACCACAGGGTTTGAGTATGAGTCTGAGTGACAACATAGCAACCTGGAGCAAGGTGGGACTCACCAGAAAGGGAGGAGAATTCTATTGATTGTTTGTGGGCTACTGTGAGTCCTTCATGCTTTCTTCATTCTTCCTATGGGGTGAAATAAAGTCGTCCTGTATCTTGCACTTGATATTCATTACAACCTTCACTGCCCATATAGGGTCTGGGGGCCCTTTTACCCATGTCTGTGGAGACATGAGCTATATATATAATTAAGTTATTTATGACGATTTTTCCAGAAGATATTCTGGGTTGGGGTAAAATGAACTAAAGAGATATGACTTTAGGTCAGGTGTAACATTGAATTGAGTCTGTGTAAACCAGAATTTGGGGGGAGTGGGTCATGGGTTACATATAAATTGGATTAGACAAATATTGGCTAAGTAATTTCTGAAAAGAACAAATACATATACTGGCAGAAGCATAATCATATTATAATTTAATTTGAAAGTATTAAATAGTGAAAAGTGATATTTGAGAGGGGGTGCTTAAAGAAAAGGTGAGATTACTTGGAACAGAAGGAAGTTTAACACTCAGAAGAATCCACCTCAATGAAGAGTTAGATCCTATGTTTTCTGGTTCCTACAACTCATGAACCAGGTTCCTGGCTCATAAAGGAGCCAGCATTGTTTCTGGATGAGCATGGCTACAGTCTTAGTCTATCAAATTGGACTATAGTGGGCTCTTTAGAAAGTGACTTCAATCTACTTCTCAAGGCTAAGTAGTTAAAACCAGTTCAGTGTCTTTGGATTTTTGGGCTGGAACCAGATATCTGGTGGTTGACTCTAATTTCTGCATGGGTGATACAATCTTTCTGGGTATGTTGGTGGCCCACTGATCGATTTAAATGTCTCCTGATTTACTTTTTAGGAACATAGGTACATGTAGATGACATAATGCCTAAATCTCTAGTTAGCTGTCTTAAAACCATTTTAGATTAGTAGGAATTAATTCAAAAGCAAATCCTTGATGGGGGAAAGAGGAGAGAGAGAGAGAGAGAGAGAGAGAGAGAGAGAGAGAGAAAGTAGAACTGGAAAATTATTAACTATCACAGGGGATGATGGACATTGAAGATGTAGGCACACTTATTTTGTAATCAGTCTCTGAAAGGGTTTCATGTGGGAAAAAGACAGAAACCTTTGCTGAGCACTCTCCCATGTCTATTTGTATTTCAATATTCCTATAGCAGATAGGCTTTACCAGTAAAGGCTAACAATATCTCCCCTTTACCATAATATGAGAAGAGGAGGAAGGAAATAAGCACTTATTAAGCACCTGCTATGTGCCAGAAGAACTGTACAAGAAAGATCTTAATATCTCAGATAACCATGATGATGTGGTTACTGACTAGCACCATACATTCTGGAGAGTAAAGTCAAGTGGGCCTTAAGAAGCATTGCTAACAATAAGGCTAGTGGAAGCGACAGAATTTCAACTGAGCTATTTAAAATCCTAAAAGATGATGCTGTTAAAGTGCCAGCAAATTTGGAAAACTCAGCGGTGGCCACTGGATTAGAAAAGGTCACTTTACTTCCTTATCCTAAAGAAGGACAATGCCAAAGAATGTTCAAACTGCAGAACAATTAATTGCACTCATTTCACACACCAGCAAGATTACACTTAAGATTTTGCAAGCTAGGCTTCAGCAATATGTGAACTGAGAATTACCAGAAGAGCAGGCTGGTTTTCAAAGAGGCAGAGGAACAAGAGACCAAATTGCCAACATTGCCTGGATTATGGAGAGAGCAAGGGAGTTCCAGAAAAACATCTATTTTTTCTTCATTGACTATGCAACAAATTGTGGCAAGTCCTCAAAGAGATAGGAGTACCAGATCATCTTACTTGTCTCTTAAGGAACTTATATGTGGGGCATGAAACAATTGTTAAAACCAAAGATGGAACAACTGGTTAGTTCAAGATTGGGAAAGGAGTATAAGGCTGTATGTTGTCACCTTATTTATTTAAGTTATATGCAGAGTACATCATGCAAAATGCCAGAATTAAGGTTTCCAGGAGAAACATCAACAATCTCAGATACGAAGATGATACCACTCTGATGGCAGAAAGTGAAGAAGAATTAAGAAGCCTCTTGGTGAGGGTGAAAGAAGATTGTGTAAAAGCTTGCTTGAAGCTTAACATTAAAAACCCAAACAAACCCCAAAACCTCCCATTACTTCCTGGCAAACAGAGGGAGAAGAAATGGAAACAGTGTCAGATTTTATATTCTTTGGCTCTAAGATCACTGCAGAAAGTGACTGCAGCCATGGAATTAAAAGATGCTTGCTCCTTGGAAGGAAAGGTATGGCAAATCTGGACAGCATACTGAAAAACAGAGATATCACTTTGCTGACAAAGGTTCATATAGTCAAAGCTGTGATTTTTCCAGTAGCAATATATTGGCTGGGAGAGAGGGCCTATAAAGAAAGCTGAGAACCACAGAATCAGTGCTTTTGAATTGTTCTGGAGGAGACTTTTGAGAGTTCCTTGGACAGCAAGGAGATAAAATCCATCAATACTTGGAGAAATTAATTCTGACTCATCATTGGAAGGATAAATACCAAAGCTGAAGCTTAAACACTTTAGCCACATAATGAGAAGACACAACTTACTGGAAAAGACTCTGATAATGGGAAAGATTAAAGGCAAAAGGAGAAGGGAAAGGCAGTAGATGAGATGTATAGTGTCATGGAAGCAAACGAAAATGAACTCGGACAGACTTCGAGAGATAAGGAGTCAGACACAAGGGAACAACAACCATGCCAGGGCTTTTTTCCAAGTGCTATTTCATGTTATCACACAATAAACTCGGGAGGTTAAGTGCTGTTATTATCCCTGTTTTAGAGTGGAGGACACTCAAGCAGACAGAGGTTAAGAGACTTGCTCAGGGTCACACAGCTAGTGTCTTGAGGTCATATTTGAACTCAGGTCTTTCTGACTGCAGGTTCTGCACTCTGGGCCACCTAGCTGCCTGGTCTGAGTTGGGAGACAAGAAAATCAGTCAAGCATTTGTTAAGCTTACTATGTATGCATCCAGTACTGTGCTAGGCGCTGGGGATACAAAGCTAGAAGGGAAATATTTCATGCCCTCCCAGGGCTAACAGCCTATCACCGTCAGAGACAGAACCTAGTTACATACAACATATTAATCCAGAGTCTAGAGCACTGACACTGGAAGTTGACCCAGCACACGCTCAGCCCCATCCTCTCATGGGTGCAAAAGCGATGCAAGATAATTTTGGAGGGAAAGCACTAGATGCTGGAGGGTATCCGAAAAGGCTGCATGCAAAGAGTGGTGCTTCGGCTGTGCTTTGAAGGAATACCAGGTTTCTGAGAGGCAGAGGTGAGGAGGGTGTGCCTTTGGGGTAGGGGTTTGGGGAAGGGGGCACTGTGATCTGCCACGTGCAAAGTCGAGGAACGATGCATCCTTGGGTGTGTGGAACCACCAGAAGAATGCCAATTAGTATGGACCATCCTGGGCACACTTGAGATAATGTGTTGGAAGACTGGAAAGGTAGGTTGTAAAGGGTTTTAAAATCTCAAACAAAAGGTGGATATGTGCTTGATCCTAGAGGTTAACAGTTAAGTCATGACAACAAGCATTTATTAAGCGCCTACTGTGTGCCCCGCACTTGGGAGAAGACGGAGATTTGTCTCATGATAAGGTTTGAGACTTAAGGAGAGAAGCCGGAAACCGCAGCTGAAGGACTGCGGCGCGGAAGAGGGGCCCCAGCCTCGCCCGAGGAAAGGCAGTGCCCACCACTACCACCGAGAGCGGCCGGCCCTGCCCCGGGGGCAGCTGCAGGATAGGGGAAGGAAAGGCGCCTTTCCCCCCCCCCGCCCCCACGACAGAGGGATGGACGGGGCGGGGCGGGGGGTGGTGGCCGGAGGCCGGGGATGGAGAAAGGGAGGAGGGCCAAGAGCTGAGGTTTTAGACGAAATAGAATTGACTCGGGTCTTCCCATCCCTTTCAGGCAGTGGGGGGAGGGGGCGGTCCTAATGGCCCCCGCCCCTCCCCGTCCCTCCCGGCTCTTTTGGGACAGTTTCTTGGGCTTTGTCTCGGAGGCCAGCCCCTCTCTGTGTGCTGCCTGTTTCTCCACCAATCCCAAGCCCGGAGACCCGGGGGAGGTGACTGCCTCAACCTGTCCCCAAGCCTTGCCCCTTTACACGCGCTTTCGGAACCCTTGGGCTGACTGACAGCCTCCGGGTCCAACCCGCTAGTGGCGCAGGAAGCCTCCAGTGGGGGCTGGGGCGAGGGTCGGACTCGGAGGCCAATCGCCCTGGGTCTGAGGGGTGGGGCCTGCTCGCCTTCCTTGGTCGCCCTCTAGCGGCCTCCCGCTTCGCCCGTTCACCAATGGTGGAAGAGGGGGCGGTGCCGGGCGAGCCGGAGAGCCAATGGTGGAGGCGGGGTGGACAAGCCGGGGGCGGGCTCCGAGGCCGCGGCGGGTACCCTGCCAGGAGCCGGAGCTGCTGCGAGCCGGCGGGGGCTTCGGGAGGCGGAGAGCTGAGGCCGGTCCGGCGGGAGCAGTGGAGGAGCTGCACGAAAATGCACTCAGATGCTGCTGCTGTCAGTGAGTAACGGGTCGGAAGCGGGTGACAAGCCTCACGGGCAGGGGGCGAACCGAAGCCTCCCGGTCTCGGAGACGGACCCCCGTTCCCTCCGCCGGCCCCAGCTTTTCCCCTCCCACACTGACGGAGCCCCCAGCTCCGTCACCGCCGTTGCTGCCTCCCGGGCTCCGGGCTCTAGCGGGGAACTGCCGGCCGTGACGTTGCGGGTAGTCCGTGGAGGGGGGGGAGGGCGCGCCCAGGCCGGCTTCCCGGTGATGGGGGTGGGGGGGAGGGCGCCGGCAGAGGGGGAGGGGCTGGCTTTCTTTGGGGACTTGGGGGGCAGGTGCAAAGGGGACCAGGCGGGGGATGACAGTGGGACACTAAGGCCGGGAGAGAGGGACTGCTTCTGGAGAGGGTGAGTTGTGAGGAGTGGGTGCTGGAGGGCAGTAATGGGGCTCGAGGATGGGGCTGGGGGCTGAGCACCTTAACTGGGAGGGAGAGGAACGTCTGGGTAATAAAGGGGAGAGGGATGAAGGGATTAGGAAGGAGGGCATGCGGACACCTGCGTGGGGGCGGGTTAGGGTGGGGGGGAATAACATTGTGTGTGGGTTAAAATTTACAGGTGGGGGGTTGAAGGATGAAGGGTGATGGGGGGTAGCATTAAGGTAACAGCAGAAGAGGGGGCTGTGGGTACGGGGATGCGAGTGTTGAAGTTTGGGTGTTGTGGGTAAGATAATAAGAGGGGGGAATGGGGCAAGATGGTTGAGGAGTTTGGGGGAATAGCACGCGGGCAGCTGCGTGGGGAGGGTCGAGGTTTGGGCAGAACAATATGAGGGGGAAAGCTTTATGGGGGAGGGGGGAGTAATATGGGGATAGGGCCGGGGGACAGTATGGGAAGGGTTGGAACGGTACGAGGGGGCGGGGTTCTTGGGAAGAACGGTATGATGGGGGATGGGGAAGCAGCCTGGGGAATGGGGGAGCTGTGGGGGGGGCAACTGGGAAGAGGGGAGAGGCTGGACTACTGTGGGGAGCAGGGGAGAGAGGAGGGTTGGGGAACTAGTGGGGGGATGGGGAAGCTGAAGAGCTGGATGGGGGGGTTGGGAACTGTATGGAGGAGGGGGAAGATTGGCTAGGTGGGTGGTAGAGGGGGACGTGGGGGTGAGGAACTGAATGGGGATGGGGGTTGGGGGCAACAGTGCGGGAGAGGGTCGTCGAGAATAACTTGGGGGGGGTGTTCTAGTCCAGTATTACGGGATCCAACTTGGCCTCTCTGGCTCCGTCTTTGGGTGGGGGGGGGGTTCCCTGCCCCCTCCTTCCCGCTCCTCGAGTTCTCTCCCCTCCCCCACGCCCCGTGGGCCCGGTGACCCCAGCTGGCCCCGCCTGAGGCCGGGCTTCGGGTTTCAGGGTCGAGAATCCGCAGCTGTCCCCTGGGGAAGCTGAAGTGATGCCCCGAGGAGAGGTGGGGAGAGGATGGTAGAGGGGCTGAAGAGGGACGGCCTCTGGTCGAGGGAGGGGTCCGGGTTGACCATGACCTAGGGAAATGCGGGAGAGGAGGAAGGACGGGGCTGGGGGCGGGGTGGTGCGTGAACCTCGGAGCGGCGGTGACGGGCTCGCGGGGCCGGGGGCCAGTTGGGAAGGCTGCTTTTGTTTTAGGGGCAGATTCGGGGTCTTTGGAGGTCTTCGGCTTGTGACGCATTTTCTAATTTTTCGGGGGGCTGGATTTCCCCTGACCTGACTGGCCCAAGGCCTCCCCCAGAGCTCCGGAACAGCCACGTCCCTTTTTTAGTGAAGGGCGGAGGAATTTTTGGGGTATACTTTATAGCTTTAGTTGAAGCCACAGGGTTTGAAGGGGAAGGTGGGTTTAACAGGCATCATGGGACCTGTAGTCTTGGCTGTGCCAAAACACGGTTGGGTTGGATGCACGTGGGTAACTGTGGAGACGAGTCCCAGAATGCTCGGCGGCTCTTCTGACTTGCTGGATTTCCCCCTCCTGTCGCGGGCTGCTTTGCTTTTTGAGGATCCACCTGCGGTTTAGAGCTCCGAGACGCCTTTGCTTTAAACTTAGCGTGTTTTCGTCTAGGGATGTCAAGCTAGGTCTAGTATATTCGTGTTTGTTTCTTAAAGCTGACAACAAAAATCTTTAAAATGTTAAAAGATATTTTGATTACATTGACTAATACAGTGGTTTGTAGAGCAGAGCTCTTACTTTTGGGACCATCTATTGAACATCATCAGGTTGAGGAAAAAACAGGCAACAAGAAACCAAAAACAAAATGGAGATAAGTTATTGAATTTATTGTTAATTGTTCAAGTATACTATGTGTATATTGCTTGAGGCTGACCTTTGTTTTTAAAAAGTATCTTTTTTCTCTATTTGTAAGATATTTAGTAGGCTGAATGTTTCCTTTTCACCAATGGTAGGGAGAATGGCACCTTTCACGGTTGAATTGATAAATAACTTTAATTGATTAATTAGCTTTAATGAGTTAGAGAGACTTCCAAAAAGGTGGTCGTAAGGTGATTTCTGAATTCAGTGATAGGGATGGCTTAATGAATTTTACATTTTTTTTGTTCCATTCATAAAACTAGCATAACATAAAATGTGGAGACGGAAGAAAATTATTTTAATTGTTAGTGTGGGAAGCAAATGGGAGTACAAAGAGGAGATGGAAGACAAAGGATCGACAAAAGTTCTAAGTACTGTTGGTCATAGAATGGTCTGTCTGTAAGGGCTTTTACCTATCTTTAGTTCATCCCCACTCATTTTACAGATTAGGAAACTGAGACCCAGAGAGGTTAAGTAATTTAACCCAAGTTCATTTGACTACTTAGGAGTGGAGCTGGGACTAAGAGCCAGCTCTCCTGATTCCCAGGATAATTTTTATTTCAGTGCATTATGCTGTTGTCTGTTTATGTAGTGTGATGCATAAAATACTACTGTATGGTAAATATTTGTTGATGAAATAAAATCTAAGTACTGTAGATGAAATTTACTAAGAAAAATAATGTAGAATCAATGAAGAGTTTTGAGTTGTGGGAGACCATATGGTAGAGCATAGGTGAAAGATTATTTTGACAATGGCATTTGTTATAATACATTATGAAACTGAAGATAGGAAAAAACTAGAAAAACATCATAGTGGGTCTGCATCAGCATAAAGACAAAAAGATGTGGTGAGTAAGAAGTAGGAAACAATTGGGTGTGGAGAGAAGAAAGGTTGAATTCCTGTACTGGTTTTAAAATTGGGCAGTGGGTAAGGTTTGGAGGAAAAGATTCAGGTGATCTGTCTTTGCTGTACTTTACTAGAGGCTGTGATTAATTATCAGCAAACACTGTTTAAGATGAAAATATGTGATATGATATCTAGCACATTTACTCTTGGAATGGGGGGTAAAAGGAAAAATAAAAGTTAGTTAGAAGATATAACTAATTGCCTTCTGGATTTATTTCTAAAGGAAATTAGATTACTGCTTCTTTCTCACTTCCTTTGTGTTTCTCTTCCCTTCTGTAGCTCTCTCCAAAGAGAAGAGATGTAGTCTTTGTGGTTATTTTAAAGTTAATTTGACATACTGAAGATTCTTTAAATTCTAGCTTTCTGTCTTGAAGACACTTCATAGCAGGTGTCAGAATATTATTGATGTGTTACTGGTTTTTACATTTTTGTATATAATATGTAATCTTACAGTTTGCTGGTAGCTTTGGTCTTTTTTCACTCTTTATTTCGTGTTCTTAAAGACAAAAGCACATGAATATTTTTATGCTAGACTGTGTGAGGTTATTCTTGCTTCCTGTGAATTAGCTGAAAACATCTTTTGTCCTTTTCCTCTCCCCCCACAACTCCAATAATTCTCTAAAGTAATTACTTAGTATACTTCAACGGACAATGGTATTGATAGTCTTACTACTCTATGTAGCCAGTATTCTTACTTAAAACAGTAGTGAAAATAAAATGTTACTTTTATTTTAAAACTGGATTATTACATAGAAAATTGTCTTTATCCAATGCATATATAATATATAATTCCCTTATATCTGCTTCTGTGACTAGGTGACAATAGTGGATTGAGGCCAGGGCTAGCATCAAGAAGACCTGAATTCAAATGTAGCCTCAGATACTTGCTGTGTGACCCTGGGCAAGTCATTTAAATCCTTCTGTATACCTTAGTATCCTCAACTGTAAAATGAGGATAATAGTACCTGCCTCATAGAGTTATTGTGAAGATCAAATGAGATAATATTTATAAAGAGTGCTTTATACTATACCTGGCACATAGTAAATGCTATATAAAATATTAGCTATTATTTTTATTATTATCTTATATGCTATAGAATGCAAGTGGTCACAGCCCCTGTATTCTTAATAATTGACCGTACAAGATTATGAAGTGGCACCATCTCAATCTAATATTTCCAACACCTTTGTAATTAGGTATATTGTCAGGAGAAAAGGCCAAGGACACAGAAAATGTTTTCCTTAAAACTAAGAGTCAAGATACTACAGGCAATAACAGGAATTGCTATTAGTGGATAGCGGGCATTGGACTTAGAATCGGGAAGAATTAATTGAGTTTGAATCCTGCCTGAGATACCTAATTAGCTGTTGTACCCTGGACAATTCACTTTTCTTTTCCTCATCTGTAAAATATTGGGATTGGACTTGATATCTTCTAAATTTCTTTTCAGTTTTAAATCAGCCATCCATGGACCTCACAAAAAGCAGAACTGCTGTTCATATGGGTTGTAATATAGTCTTCCTTTTTAAACTGGATGTCCCAAAGACAGACATCTCAAATTCAACGTAAACATAACAGATTTCGTTATCTTTCCCCTCCAAACTCAGCCATTTTAACTTAACTATTTCTGTCAAGGACACCACCATCATTCTAATTAGCCACATTCAAAAGTTCTATGTCAGTCAACTTTGACTCACCTCATATGGCCAATCATTTGCCAGATCTT